AATTTTTATCTTGCAGTCTGAGTAAATAATTGATTTACTGAAGTTCAGAAAACACTATGGGATCATCTTCGTCTCTGAGCGAAATTGCATGCGCCGAGTCTCAAGAAATGAAACGTGCCCCATGTGTTGTGACGAGGGGAGACTCTTATTTTAGATACACGATGTGGAGGTGGCACATAAGCTGTGCTTCACTTGCTGGAGAAAGGTGGCGGATGAGTTTCACCCAGAAGGCGCCGTCTGTGGACAGGATGTGGAGCCACCCAGTCGGTTCTTACACTCGTAACTATTGCTTTTGACCTTGTTTATTGTTAAGCTAACTAAGACTGGTGCCATGTGAACAACCACTCTTTTCCACCTTTGACCACTAACTCGAACCTTCTCAATGTAAACCACAAACGAACATCCAACCCTTCCTCCACATCAACTATGTTTTACCTTTGTTTAGTTCCTCTGACGATGACACGACAGACGAGGATGAGGAGGCAAATGTCTCGGACGAGATGAAAAAGGAGATCGTGCTGCGGTTCCGGGACTGGAACTCGGAGCTGGAGCCACAGGTGATGAGGAGCGTCTCTGACTTTGATCTGTTCTCGAGCACGCTATGGTCTGGATTGGCCTTATCGACTCCTCCAGCGGCGACGACGCCTCTGATGACACTCAAACTAATCTGCCTGCTAATCTGCCTGCAGGCGTGACTGCTAATCTGCCAGGCCGGACCCGAGGCTGCGGTCGAGAAATACGAACCTCTGGGTCATCCTCGTAAAAGTTCAAAATCTCAAACTATATTACTAAATGGTTCATCACTAGTTTATGAGAAAACTGTTCTTTTAAGACGTGTAGTATGCTACAGTATTCTTCAGTATGCCGTACAGACAGTATGCCCTCACTTATCATTAAAGTTCAAAATCTCATATAACAAAGTATAGTATTGAAATAGTTTATGCCTAGTTTATTAGAAATTTGTTTTTTTTTAGCCGTCACTCATCAGCGCTTCTTCCCCAGATTATACCATAAATGCTAAAAATAGTCCTACTTATCAGTGAAGGTTCAAAATCTCAAATTCGAAAAAATTATAATTAAAAATTCTATGACTAGTTGATTAGAAAACCTTCTTTTTTTAGTTAGGTAGTATGCTACAGTATGCTACAGTGTGTACAGACAGTATGCTACATTATGCCGTACAAACATAATGCCCTCACTTATCAGTAAAGTTTCAAAATCTCAAATCTCACAATATATTTTACTAAAATAGTTTATGACTAGTTTGTTTATCAGAAAAATGGTTTTTTAGTCGTCACTCAACAGTGCTCGCCCCTACAGTATGCCCTACAATTATTCAAAATGCCCTAATCATCGGAAAAATTCAAAAGCTCAAATCTCAAAAAATATTACTAAAATAGTTTATGACTAGTTTATTAGAAAACTATTTTTTAGTCGTGTAGTATGCTACAGTATGCTAAAATATGTACAGACAGTATGCTACAGTATGCCGTACAGCCAGAATAACCTCAATTATCAGTAAAGGTTCAAAATCTCAAATCTCAAAAAATTTTACTAAAGTTTTTCATGACTAGTTTCTTAAAACCTTTTTTTTTGGCCGTAACTCATCAGCGCTCGTACCAGCTCTATCTGAGTCACTCAGCCAGAGTCAGTCACTTATCACTCTATCATTCAGTCAGCCAGACTCTTTTTAGTCACTCGGTGATTCGGTCAATGAAAGTCATTTCATCAGACAGCTTTATCAGAGTCACTTTTCAGCCTTATCGGAGACATTCAGAGTCAGTTACAGTCAACCAACGTCCCTTTCTTTCTGTATCTAAAACTGTAGATTCAGTTATTTTTGTTCTATATTACCTCTCTTTTTTGAGAAATTTTACTGTTTCCAGCTGTGGGGCATTTCTGTTGGGCCTTGTTTTAAATCTTATTGGTGCTAAGCATAGTCATTAAATTAGGTAATTTTTTTAAGGATAGTCATTGAATTAAAACACCCAAGTATTTTTGTTTGATTTAGGAAAATTGGCTCTTTCTGAAGCTAATTGTTATTGGTTTTCGGAATATTCATGTCATAATAATGATGCGCACAAATGATTAAAATTTTGACTGTAACTAAACCTGGGATAGATGTTTACATTCAAAACGGGCTCCTGAGGATCAAATTTTGGTGGTCTTCTTTTTTTTTAAAATTTATAGAAAGGTATCTTCAATTCTCATTTTATTAACTCACTGTTCATACCTCCTTTTTTTTCTATAATTATGTCAACATTTGCCGGTCGAATATCAGAATTTCCTGTGGTTTCAATTGACCGCTTCAATGGTGAGAACATCAAGTCGGTTTATTTTTTCGCACTTTCATACAGATCACATGGTGGGCCTTAATGAGCCTGATCTCTTCGAAAGCTAAAAACACTATAAATTCAAAAGTTATTGTCATAAAGTTTCGGCTGCTTTGTTGACTATATTGCCGCTTTATTTTCATTTAACTCCATATATAATACCACTGGATTCAGATAATGAGATAACACTGAATGTTTCATCGGAAGGGGACGAGACTCATACTTTAACTGTCACTCTCATTCCTGCAGATCACTGTCCAGGTGCAGTTATGTTCATACTAGTTTTCAAACAGAAATCTGCCCTTTTTACTAGCAATTTCAGTGGGCAAGTTGGTCATACGAAGCGATTAAATCATTTGTATACAAATAACAAGAAGCTGCTGTTCACAGTTTTGATATTATTTACTTTGCCAAAACGTTTTGCAAATTGTATCCCAGATCCATTTCTGCAAGCCGTCGTCTGCGTCTGCAAACTTAAAACTGACTTGCAAGCCGGGTCATCCCAAGTCGAGAAGTGCCTACAATCATTCCAACCGCAATGTTCTCAACAAAAAACGAGATAATGCCTGTGAGATTGGTTAAAACAGTGTCAGAGAGAACCATTTGGTACTTTTATTCTTAGCACTCTTCAGCTGACGAAATATTTGATTTCCTTTCGAATCTGCAGTTCGAAAGTATTACACCCTTTGTTTGTCCGAATAAAGATACTCCACTTGACTCTCTGAAAGCTTTTATTTTAAATATGCACAAACATCAGAACCCAAACATGTCAAACGATGCGAGTACAAAGCTGTGGAGTGAGAAAATGAAATTCAATAAGAGATAAACGCAAACTTTATCTAGAGAATTTTTGAACAAACTTACCAGACTACCAAGAGCCATTGAGACAACAGAGACGCTTCGTCGAAGGTGGAGATTTCGAGGGAAAGCATTCATAAACAGCCGAAACAGCCGAGGAGACAGGAGAAAACATAACAGAAAGTTGATCCATTTGCTCAACAATATTTAAAATCAAAATTTTATTTTTCGTACTCTAGTTTTTACCACTTGTATACGTTTTTCTTTTCAGTTTAAAAAAAAGAGGATATTTTAATCCAGTTTTCAGAGGATGTTCCAGTTCAGCTTTCAAAAATACAATTGAGCCGCCCTTTACCTCGTGTCGAATACTTAACCATCTCATCTCAAATACTGATGAGTGTGATGATGATTTCTGAACCAACTGAACCATCTCATCTCAAATACTGATGATGATTTCTTAACCAACTGAACCATCTCATCTCAAATACTGATGATGATTTCTTAACCAACTGAACCATCTCATGTCAAATGCTGATGAGTGACTTAGCTGCCATTTGAAACTGAACCATCCTAAATGGCTTTCGATGATTGTATTTACCGATGCCAAAAATCAGCCGATCATCAGATGAAAATGAAGAAAAAAATGACATCCGCACTGTTAACCGATGTTTTACGACTCGTTTGTAGATTCCGATGACAAATGGATAAGTACCTGCTTTCCAATTGCGCGTTGCTATAGATAATAATAAAATATTTGACCTCTAGCTTTTAATTGTTCATATGCAAGTCCACTTACAATTCGCGGAATACGCTTACATTTGCGAATTCCGCTTACAAATTTTGCGGATTCTACTTACATTTGCGCATTCCACTTTCATTTTGCCGAATCTGCTTACAGTTGCGGAATCTAGAACAAATAGCTATACTTTGCTGTTGCGGAATCCGCAACATAACAAATGTGCCGACAAAAACTACGTTACAGGTTATTTTATGCGGAATCCACTGAAATTTTTTTAGTGGAATCCACTGGCATTTTGGAACAGATTTAAAGACTTGTCTCTGGAATCCAGGAACATACAGACGCAAAGTTGTGCGCCTATCTAGTGCACAGTTTGGCCTCGTAATGGTTCTCAATTTTAGTAGGCTTGGTACTTGAATCGTCATATAATCAATTATTAACGCTGGAAACTGAATGTGGGTTCTCATGGGTCATAATTAAAATAATTTTATCAATTCTGCAAGTATTCGTTTTACTGTCCTTGAAAAGGAGACATAAAATTTGCAGTCGAGAATGTCAAGCAGACCCAATTTTGGTCGCGAAGTTCGAAACATAGGCCGAGCCCAATCCAAAAATAGGTTGAGCACGTTCAAAACATCAGTTCAATAGAGTCGAAACACACCCGATTTTGGTTGCGAAAGCCGAAACAAAGGTTCGAGCACAGCCGAAACATACACTCAGGATGCGGCTGGTTTTCGAAGAAAGTGATTACCCGGGTTCAATAAAAATGCTAGTCATACAATTCTTATGTATGGCTTATAGATTTCATACATTTAAAAAAATGCATGAAAACGATATGATTAGCATTCTCGCAAATATGAGAACTGAATGATTAGCATTTTATCATAAGCATCCCAAAATTCGGCCGAGAAAGTCGCAACGTACCAAAAGTCGGTCGAGAAAGTCGAAACGTACCAAAATTTGGTCGAGAAAGTCGAAACGTACCAAAATTTGGTCGAGAAAATCGAAACGTACTAAAGTTTGGTCGAGAAAGTCGAGACATACCAATTTTTGGTGGAGAAAGTTGAGACATAAATCGAGAACCTCGATCCGGGCTGACTTACTAATCATTTTCTGCATTATTATTTCAGATGAATAGCCGACTTAGTCTCGTGTTGTACTTTGCGCTGACTCTCACCATTCATTTCACAACTTCTACCGTTGATCTCTGCTCTTCCCAAATAGGATTGTCAGGTAAGATTTTGTCTGAAGCTAATTAGAGCACAAAAAAAACGTATAGCCCTTCAATCTACATTGCTTTTTGTCTCATAGCTGCTCGAATAAATAGATAAAAAAGAAAAAAAAAGTTTCGAAAAACCCTTACAGGTAAAAACATGTACCAGATAAATGCGCTATAAAAGTAGCATCAAAACTGTGAAGTTTTTCACAGCTCGCCAAGTTCAACGTTTTAAAATGGCGAGTTGCTTTGTTCTCTAGTAATTTTAAACAAAACCTAAGTAAGTTTTTGTGGAATTTATTCAACTTATTTTCATCTTATTTTCAAACTGTTGCAACCTAATCAAACTTAGTAATATAGTTTGATATGAAACAGTCGTTTTCCAGCTTTCGCGAATCTTAGTTAAATTTCATTCGCCTTCACATCCCTATATCATTAAATAAGCACTTTGACTGATTCTACCAAAGGAAACCAGGACTCATCAGCGTTGGATGAGATTCAATAAATTCGAAAAACGAGCTCCCCAAGTTGACCTCAATTGACCAAAAATACTAATCATACACTTTCGTACACTTAGTCTATGGAAAAAGGCTAGGCATTCAATTTTCATTTTGTTTGAAAAATGAGTTTGATCAAATTCTGAAAGTAATTTTTGTTGTTTTGGTATCCAAATTGGGGTCTCTCTTTGAAAAGAAGGGAAAAATTAGCTTGAAAAAAATACTAATCATAAAATTTCATATATAGAAAATGTATGATTAGCAAATAAAAAATTTTTTTAAGAAAAACCAATAAGCGTTATGTGGGATGCTACAACCGGAAACTTCAATTTTTTTTGGTTTCTGAAAAAATTTCTAGACATACCGTTTCCATATTTTTCCAGAATCAACTGAAAACAGCGGTCTTGGCTTTTACTCAGCAGGGGTTAAAAAATCTATGGTTTTGTTCCGACCATTTAAATTAAAGAGTAGTATTGTCATAGGGTGTGCTCAATTTTTCGAAAAAAAATCTCGTATCAAGAACAATTGAGTTGAGTTCTTAGGTCTAACTCATAGAGTAATTTCGGATAGGGTACACCGTCTGTTCGTCACGCTATCTTATTTTCGGCCGGATAGGTTCGTGCAAATCTTACCGATCCTAATCTTTCTCTTATATCTACTAGTTAGGCTCAATAGATCTAGAGTATACTGGCTTATTGTGATTGCTATAGTTCTCTTGGAGAGGTAACTAATTTCTAAGAAAAATTCAAATCTCTCTGGTGCTGAAATTACAAGTTTTTTTGAGCACTTACAAATAAGTGGGTTGTTAGTTAGATGGATCATGATTGGTTAATACTAAATATTTTATAGTGATAAAATATCTAATTTATGACCAATAATAAAATGTAGTTTAGATCTGGTTCCACCCATCCGGGGTTTACAGTGTTTTTTTTTAAGATTTATCATCTTCTTTCTGCAAGTGTAGGATGGATGATGATCGTTGGTATTTGGCAAACATCATTTTCTTATTTGGTTCCTCTTCAATCTGATTCCCAAATGGTCTGCTATGACTGCTTGTTCTGCTTTCGTGGAGATTTGATTGAGTATCACTCTCGTCTGGGAATGGCGTGAAGATTGTGTTTGAAGGGAACGCCTTGTAACTCGGATCTGTACGTATACTTGAACATCGAGGTTTGTCATTGGTCTGATTCAATGAAGCCCTTTTCTGCGAAGTCAAGTCGTACTCTAAATCCTTTGAGTCGTGATTGTGAGCGGCATGTTGGTTGTGTTTAGCCATTCTGTAGGTCGAGTGCGATGGGGTCGTCTAGTCTTTGGATGTTTGTTTTTGTAGTTGTGTATGATCTATATACTGCATATTATAATTTACATTTTATAAAAATTTGTTCATTTAGCTCTTTAGTTATGATTTTGGTTAATTGTTTTCACAAAAGCGTTTTAGTTTTAGCTCAGTTATTTTAATAAGTTACTCACTCTTGAGTACCTCCTGTTAAAAATACATTGTGGTCACAAAGCGTGGGTGTAGCACGGTGGGTTAGGCCGGCTATAGAGCATGCTCAGGACGTCCTCTCTGGTGGGTTAGGCCAGGAGTTGGAGTATGTTATCATGCTGTTTCTTTGAGAGGTCCTGCTTTGTGCTAATATTTTATGTTCTGTTTTTTTTTCTGGTTTTTCTTTTGTTACTTTGGTTGCGTCCTTTTTCAAAAATCAAATTGTTTTTAGTTTGGGTTTGTATTGCGACTTTTTGGTGTTTTATGATTTCTTTCTTAGATTTGGTAATAGTCTTTAAAAGAATAAACTATCCAGTGTTTAGCTGGTTCAATCCGGTTTGGGTATCGTGGGTTTTTTTTTTCTTAGTCATGCTGTTATTTGGGATTTATGGTGTTTAGTAAGCTGCGTTGGTTAGTTTGGTTTATTATATAATTTCTTTCCAACCGGGTTAAAGAAAAGTTGGAAACTTGTTATCGCTTGTTTGAGTTGTTGTTAGTGAAAACTTAAAATTTGAAATAATTGGTTTAAACAATTCTTTGTGGGCGAGCTGTGCGATTTTGGATAGAATTCTTGTGCGAAAAAATGAAAAGATATAAAAGTTAGTACTGCTTACTTCTTTGTTATAAAATTACTGCTTAGAACCTGAATTTTACTGCTTTTGGGAATCTTAAAATTACAAATTTTCATCGTATTTTAATTTTACTAGATTTGGGAAAATAGTTTATAGATTATTTTACTACTTTGGTTACTAATTTTACTGCATAATTTAGTGCTGATGGTTTAATAGAGTTTATTCGAATAAAAGAGTTTCTCTTTTTATTTGTTTTTTCACTTGTTGTAGTTGATCGTGGTGTGGAGACTAAAAAATTGAGTTAAACATTGAAAAAGATTGGTTGGTTTGATTTTTAAATAGTTAGTTTTAAATTATGCAATTCATATTTACCTAATCGTCTGGGAAGAAGCCGTGTGGAAAAAGTTCGTGAACAAGGTCTGATGTTGTTAGTAATTTGGCTAGTATGCGTATGATACTTTTATTTTTAGTTTGAAGCAGTGGCCAGAGCAATTGGAGTGCTTTTATGGTGTTTAGTTCTTCGGTGCCTACTGCAAATTCATGAGGTGTGTTCTGTATGAGATTGTAAATTTTATGATTGCATTTAGTGTTGTGAATGAATACTAATATTGGTATTTCAATAGGTTGAATGTATTCATGCGGGATTATTAAGGGGCGGGATTCTTCGTCGTTGAAGGTCTTGGTGAGGGGGCAGAATAAAAACATCTGGGTGATTGGATCATAATTTCGGAGGATGCCTTGAAAGTTAGTGTTTTTAATACAGTATGTGAAGTTTAGGAAAAATGGTGAGGTGTATTTAGAAAAAATAAACTGAAATCTGTGGTGTTGTCGTGATGGTGTGTGTCAGTCATAATGATTTTGTATAAAACGATAATAAGTGTAGGTGTGCGTTTGTTTAGTTCGTAACATGATGTCGTGGGAACAGTGCAAATCACGTTTTTTTGGTGAGAGAAAGTGAAAGATCAGTGAAAATGGTTGAAATTTGTCATAAAATGTTTTGTACGCCTTTATACTCGATAGTGCTTCTGAAATAAAGTGGTCATGCATTTTATCTAAGATTATCTAAGTGTGAATACGTAGGATGTTTTTATGAAAATTTCTCTGTTAGTTGTGGGTTTGCAAAACGGTCGTCGTCAAGAAATTGATCTTGGTTGGGTGTGATGATGTTATGATCGTAATATTCAATTGAGTAATCGTTAGCTCCTGGTGCTTTAACGTTTTTAGTAGTTTCTTATATCCTTTACATGTAAATTGTCGGGGTGTTAGTGACGTGGTTAGTCTAATTAATTCGTTCTTGTTTCTTTCAATATCGTGTGTGGCGTTATGAAGTGGTAAAGAAAGAGTGTTAGTAAAATTATAATAAGCGGTCCAATGAAGTGTGGGTATTAATACAGGTTCATCTACAAAATTATGTGGTTCAGGGTTAGGGTCGGATTGGTTTAAGGTAAAATGTGGAAATAAGGGTAGGGTTACTAGTATTGGGGTGGTCTGGATGGTTAATTTATTCTCGGGCGGTTCCGGGTTTGGATGGAACGGGTGATTTGGGAGTTTGCGTTTAAAAATTCTATAAGCTCGGTTAGTACTAGTGGATGTTTCTGTTGTTGTGGATGACTGAGCTAATGATGGGGTATAATCTGTAAGTGGTGTTGGTGTTGGCGGATTGGATTATTTTAATATTGATGATAATTGGTAAGTATTAAGAGTGTTGGGGTATGGTAACTGTTGTTGGAGTGTTAAAAAATTATCGAGTTCTTCAGAAATGTGTATATTTTCTGGGGAGTTATTGTTTGATCGATCTGAATGAAATGGGGAGTAGGTTGGGGTTATTTGAGAAACATGGGAAGGAGTGGAGTGGGATGGAAAATGGTGTTGAGGCTGAATGGGTCGAAAGGGGGTTTTTCAAAAGGTTGAAGAGTTGGTCTGGGTATAGGTAGAAGAGGATGGTTCGGAATCTGCGAATTCATCGGGAGTTTTTAAATCGGAGTTATTAAATTGTGATATTGTCTGAAAAACTGAGATGTCTGAGTTAGTATTAGAATTCATGCCTGATGATGTATTAATTTGTGGAGAATCAGGTGGCGGAAAAGCAAAAATTGGGATAATGGGGATTTGACTTTGGAGGTTGGCAGGGTGGGATTTTGAGCGATGGAGGGATCCAATTTGTCTGCTCATCGTGGGCTAAAAAAATGATTATTTCGAGATTCAAAAGTGGTGGTATGGGTTGTTTAATAATTTGTTCATATGTATTGTCGTTTTGTGGGTGTTGCGTTACTAAATGTTGGATGGGGCTTTGTATTGTATTTGGTCTGAAATTTGAAAGGTTCGTGATTGCTAGACTTCTAAAATTTCAGGAAACTAACGATAAGGGATGGTTTTGAGGTTGGTTTGGTAAATGTGGTGCTGTAGGTGTTGTATTTGTATTATTATGTTCTTCGTCATAAGTGTTTGCTCTTGTGGATAGT